AAAGACTTACTTCATACAGCGACTAGTTTCCTAATTGAAACAGGCAACGTATCTCCGACACTTTTATCGCGGGAGCTGTCTTTAACTAGGGAAATACAGTCTAACCTGTCTGCGTTCCTTGAGGCGATCACGTTGAGTGAATGTATGGTGAGATCATGTTGAGGCAGCTCTATTGTTCAATTATCCGCTATTATATTGGACATAGCTGAGTCTACGAGTACATGCACTCGCTCGAGAATTCGGAAAACCATGCTAGAAATCAATAAACGTGCAAACTCATCTGGTTATTCCAAAGCGAAATGTTTTCTTAAGCATGTCATCAGATAAATAGTGCTATATTAAAGACAGTCGAATGTTGAAGATAACAGACTCTACTGGGCAAATATTCGCATATTTAATAGGTATGAAAAGAGATGGAGTACAATGAGTCACCTAAACTGGATTAACACTGCCTCGAAAAACAGGCGCAGGAGGAAGCTTTTTCTGTAGAAACGGAGCGTGTTGAGCTACTGCAGGAACGTTTCCTTGAGGATACTGAGAGATGAGCCGCCAACTAGCCATGTGCGATGGGCGCTTGACCGGGTAAGTTAAAAACAAGGCACCGCTGGGAACTTCCTGGGAGCAAAAGACGACGATCTGCCGACAATGAAGCGGTTCACCGAAAACAACCCCGGCCAGAATAGTATTATGGTTGACGAGTGCCCGGTGGAGTTCGGAGGCGGTGCCGGGGGGGGTCGCGAGTGCGGTCTTCTCACACATTAGTTGTCCCCGGAATTCTCAGCCGTTTTGTGACACCAACGGACCTCTAATTTTTTTTGTACCATTCACTGCCTTGATTAAAAACTCATTCTGGCCTTGCTTCTCAGTAGATATGCCTGTAAGAGAATTCATGCGCTGCGGCTATCTGATTTTGGTATAATTGCCGTTCACCCATTGCTTGATAACCCCTTTTTTTAAGCACTGTGAAAAAGAGGCACTTCGGACGATTTTTTTCTTCGGCTATAAATTGGGGCAGTCCGCAATCGAAACAGCTCAACAAATTAACCAGGTGTGGGGGCCCAATAATGCTAGAGAAAGCGCTGTGCGGCAATGGCTCAATAAATTTCGCTCTGGAGATTTCAGCCTCGAAGGTGAGCCTCATAGCGGTCGACCTAAAGCAATATCTGACGAGGATTTTAGGGGGACTTTGGAGACTGACCCATCTCAAACACTTCGAGAGATAGCAGAAGAGCTAGGCCTTGGCAAATCCATTGTTGCAGATGGTCTGGAACGCATTGGGAAGATAAAAAACTCGACAGTGGGGTGCCCCACAATTGGAGTGATCGGCAGGAATCGGCACGTCTCGAGGTTCCTTCTGCATTGCTTTTGCGCAGCAGAAACGACCTGTTTTTGTCACCTGTGATGAAAAATGGGTCATGTATGATAGCAAGGAGACGTTCCGGACAGTGGAACGTCTCCTTGCTATCAGAAGGAGACGTTTCGACGAACCACCGAGGTAATTTTCAAAGCCGAACCCTCACGAAAAAAGATTCTGGTCACGGTTTGGTGGTCATCGGCGGTGTGTCCACTATAACTGTTTATCACCAGCCAAACCATCACAGCAGAACCCTACTGTGAAGAAATCGACGAGTTGTACCGAAAATTCTGTCAGATGCAGCCAACACTTATCAAAAGAGAGGGTCCGATTCCTTTGCATGACAACGCCCGCCCACACGTTTCACAAATCACTATCCATAAATTGATCGAATTGGGGGTTGAAGTTCTACCTCAACCGCCATATCCTTCAGACATTTCGCCAACCGACTATCACCTTTTCTAACATTTTCAGAACTCCCTTGCTGGAAAATACTTCATCAGTCAGGACCAGGCAAAAAAGCCTTAGTGGATTTCGTGAATTTTTGACCACCCAGTTTTTTACTTTGATGGGATTTCTCGACTGCTGTCACATTGGCAAAGGTGCGCTGATTCGAATGGTGCCTAGTTCGATTAAATCCGAAGAGTATTAAAAAAGTTAGATCGTTTAAAGTGAAACACCCACAACGCTGAGAACTTTCCGGACAAAATAATATAAAACGCACTTTTTCTGTGACCATCTTCCAAGATATCCCAAGTTGGAGTCACCATAGTTTCTGAGATTTAGCAACAACATACCGTAAAGCAGATGGTGGTGGCGGAGGAGGTACAGCCGGAGCAACTGGTGGAGCCGGAGGTCCATTATACACTCGAAGGCCTTTCGACGACTCCATTACTGCTACCATTCCTCTGCGAAGATTTTCTAAAAAAAGTCTAGGAAGTAGAACAGCAGAGAGAAATAGCTTCAGTAAAAATACAGGTTGGACAAAAGAATTTTCCCCCTCTATGACAGTTGGTCACGACCCTCGTGAACGAGATGTTGCCTACTCAGGACGCCGTCAATCAGTGGAAAGCGCTGCTGGGACTGCGATCCAGTCCATGCTCCCATGCACCCGCTCTTTTGCGAATCGGCAAAAGAAGCGCCTACGAATCGGCAAAAGAAGCGCCTGCGAAAAGGTTCTGATACGTATTGATAGAAGAACAGCTGGCGCATCGACCGCTCTCCAGTTCTCCACATCGGTGAGTAGGCGAAATCCCCGCGTATCCAAACCTTTTCGTCTCTGCGCTGGATTCACAGACATTTCGCCAGAGCGGTTGACGATTTTTCCCAAACGCGTATTTACTTCTTTTCGCCGGTTATCCATTTCCTCAGGATTGTAGACGACAACGATGTTTTGCTCCCTTTTCCTTCCACTGCTTTAACTCTTGTGAATCGCCCCAACAAAATTGAGTATATAAAAAAACCTTTGATTGTCGGGTAATCACGTATTTGAGCTGGTATTCGTCCATCCCATTCGCGATACCACATCTTCACTTCGTCCAAAATAACTCGCGGAGAGTCAAGCCATTGGCAAAGAGCTGCATACCACTGGAAAAAGAAAGAATATAGGAAATTTTACAGAATTCTGATACATTCACGGTACAGAAAATAATATGTTCCACCAAACATTCTGATGACATGGAAAATGCTGATTTCTTTCCAACGCTCAGCTTCCTTGCGCTTATGGAGCCCTACTAAAGATTTTCTCAGTTTAAGTGATATTTTCAGTACTGTCCGTACATTTTCGTCCCCATCATACTAAAGCGCATACCTTTATAAAAGCATCGTCTTAAAGACGGCACCTGCGCTCAAGTAGTAAACGGCCATCATTCCTTGCAAGTAGTCCAGCCCCCAAGCTAGAGACTGTCCAACTCTTGCAACCCCACAGTGAGCGAGGAGCGAGCTACAGCCGCTGAAAGTTCTAGTTCAAATGCCTGCCCAGTTGGACCGCCCACTTGCTAGATGCCCTCTAACCAGCCGCTCAGTTGTTCTTTGTTAGGGCGGCGATATTAATCGGAATTGCATGTCCATTTTGCTGACCGCCGTGCTCATAAATAATTCTGCTCTCCTTTTAAAATTTCGTTCATTAGGCAGGGTTCAGACTTTGCGACAGCAGAGCTTGAGTCGCGCGTTCGACGCGATCAATGCAGTTAAAAGCATGCACATTGATCGCGTCGGACGCGCCACCGAAGCGCTGCATTAGGAGCACATGCAGCCAATTGCAACTCATCTCGCAAGGTGAAACGCGTAAAATCATGAGTGATGTCGAGTGATGTAATTTTTTTGGTGCAAAAGCTCGACATGCACTAAAAGACGCACGCTACCGTAGCCTTAAATTCGGACGCCGAGTTTTTTAAATTTTCTTTTTTCAAGTGTTTCTCGCCCGCGTTTTTGTTATTTTTCATATTTTCTTTGCACTGGATGATATCCACGACTAGGAGATGCGAAAAAGCGATTTGTGAGAGAGGGGTTGCACAGAGACCGCAGGGCGATGTGACTGTCAGGGAGCGACCTTGTTCATGGTGGTCTAGAGGGCTCTTCTTGCTTTTTTTCTTCTTTGGGGAATTACTTATCAGCTACTGAACAGCAACTATCCATGACACCTTTATCGAGGAAGCTGTCTTCAAGCATCTTCTTGAACAGAACTCAAGTATAACAGTATTCCCGATCTCGAGTGCTAGGTGGTTGCGCTTTCGATAGGATGTTGCCGTTTTGGGACAACTGCAAAAATGTGTTTGTCCATCAGAGGTCAGGACGACAGATGTCTTCAACAGCAGTATCTAATAACGCATTCTACAGCATTTTCAAGCTAAACTCGCGATCAAGCGTTTTACATCTCCAGGATATGGAGTGCAGGCACTGCCAGTTGAGGGAATAATTCATTCAGATATTGGACAGTATCGAAAAATCAAAGAAAGGGAAATGGTTCTCTAGTTTGTGTTCTTAGCAGTGTTTATGAGCCACTAATCAGATGCTGAAGAATATGGTGACCAACTTGTAAAACTCGACATGATATACAATAATCATTGCACATGATATACAATAATCATTGCACTATGGACCCAACCTTGACCCGAGCTGCCATGGAACAAGGGTTGAAGACGCGTCCCGCGATCAAGTGACATGCTTCCTCTAATAGCCAAGCGCGTGGTCGCAGAAAAGGCTCAGTTCCGTTGATCAAAAAAGGCGAGGTAAAGGCGCCGGAAACTTGCGAATTGCAACCATTCGGGTCTGAGAGCCTTTCCAGTCCACGTAGTGGCAAATAAGGGGAGTATCGCGTCTTCGTGCTCGTAGCGTCATAAGACGGCTTTTTGTGCTGCTCGTGAGAATCGATAGTGTTCACCTTTGGTAATTGTGCTCGTGGCCATAAGTAAATCTATTTTTCTCTACGGGCAGAATGGTCATGCAAAAGCAAACCGTGGGGTAAGGTGGAACATTCTTTGACGTTGACTCAACCTACAATGAGGTAATTGCATTGTTGTAGTGAGCCACTGCAACTGCGCGACTGCCGAGAGGGTTTTTATTCGAACCTCCTCGATTTTCTTTTGGTATTTCCTCCGCAAAATAGCCGCAATGCGAATACCAAAACGTTAATAATTGAACAATATCACCCACAATATTTCGCTGTCAAGTTTCCTGTCAAGTGCGGCAAAAAACTCACTCTTGGGAAGAAATATTTTGTAACAATGCTGGCCATCGTGTCTGCTGAGACCATTCCAATCCACGACATACAAGAATACCATTCCTCACATTTTTTATTTTCTCGTGGATTCAGATTCATTGTATCGAGACACTTTTCGAGCTAGAAAATGTCGTGACATTATAGTCAGAAAAGGTTACACTCATAGTAAATTAAAAAGCCACTCACCTTTGGTACGACATTTTGCGCTAAAAAGGCCGACATCGTTGCCGGTGTCCATACTCCACACCAAGGTTTAAGAATAGCCATTGCACTGAAAATCAGTTTCTTACTTGAAAAATCTGCGGAAAATTAAGAGAAAATTCCACAAAGAGCGAGTACGGTTGATAATCTGTGATGAACAAGGCTGAAAAACCAAAGAAAACATGTTACCTGTGATCCGTTGGGTTCCATAACCGAAGTGCCTTAGCCAGTTTTTGCCTAATAGGTGACAAAACGGGCTGTAGACGATCTCCTAGAACCGCCAACCAAGGAACAAGCCATGAATGAATGGGGACACTATCCGTCAATGGATCCCATGACGAAACGCGGTCTTCTATGCGTGGTATTATCACCTGCAATCCACAAACATTTTAGAGAAGCAAATCTATGATTCTGGGCAAAACAGCTGTGTAGCATTCAAGCAACTCCGGAATGATCAGGGACAGCAGAGCATTAATCACGTGGAGTTATCTGTTACTTTCAATACCCTGGAAATGAGTACCCACAGAGCTAGAATCCTTCACAGGATAGGTAACTGAGATCCTCAACGATTATTTCTGTAGAAAACTGCAATAATAAAAACCCACCAGCTTAGCGATTACACTCAATTGTCTAACTGTTAGAAGGGAAGCGCAAGCACGCAGCAAATAAAGTGTTTCCCTTAGCAGCAGCTTAGACTTGCTTTATAATCCTCCTCCAATGATAGTTCCGCAGTATTCGATAAAAAACGGCGGGTGAGGTATTTAGTGGTAAGTGGCCCGCTTACTACTCGCGCGGTCCTTGCATGTTATCCTGGCTCGGCTCCTGCCCGATGCCGGTTTGCCCGAGCCGACCAGGCCTTCCATCCAGCGCGGTTAGTGAACTGGTGACTTGGTTCTCTTACTTGTACAGGAGCACAAAAAAAACCTTATTTTTGTTCCGGCTGACACCCCCTCCCAAAAAAAGCCATTGTAGAAGTCATATCACACACCTCTGCGATTCCAAATATGAAATGAATGCGTATCTCAGAAGGGTGAAAAGACGGCGAAAATTCTCACCTGTTCAAGTATGTTTTCCTTCATCCAACCTGGGAGAACCGGTAGCCACATCTCAATTATGCGTAGCATTGGTTCCATGCGATCTCGCGGGTCCCAAGTTAACGAAGCGCGCCGTAGTGATGGGAGCCAACCATCCCATAACAGGCGATCGTAAGCAGTGAGCCGATCTTAAGGCAATGTAGAGATAGCGAAACCTCAACTGGAATATCTAGCTAAAAACCTTTGAGTGTACCTGTGAACATCGAGGTGCTCTCTTTATCCACAAGAATGTCTCTCCATTCTTTCATAAGATCGACGCCATATATGAGGTGCTCAGGATCGAGTGGTTTCCACTTTGAGAAATAATCGAGAATCTGAAAAAAAACACTAAGAAAATATCACCATGGAAGCTCGTGTTCCACAAATACCTGAGGGAGTACGAGAGGGATGGCCAACGCTTCGATGTCGAATAACTGGTACTCTTCCTTGTACTCTGATCGCAACTTGACGAAAAGTTGCTGACATTCATTCATGGAGGGAAGATCGTCACCCGTGCGTTTTGAGAAACTAAATTCGAGTCCGATTACATTGACTGGTTTCGAATGGGCAGTTCAAATTCAAAGGTGCAGTCCTAAAATGAAGTGCCGCTCAATTTGTAAAAAAAGTTGTAGAGAACTCACTTTTCTATAATATCGAAGACTTCCTTAATTCGGTCATATTCCTTTGTTTCAGTCTCAAGAATCACCTTGGCCTGCTCGAGATCATATCCAAGAGCAGTAGTTCGATCCTCAAAACAAATTTATAATTCCATGATTGCATGAAACATGAAATCGTCCTATGACACTGCAGGCAACATGCTCGGTAATTAACGACATAGGTCGTTGCATGTTGCCCATATAGAGAGCATGGATGCAGTGTGGGCGTTTCTGGCGCATTTACCTCGCACTTTCGTGTGGTACCCCCTCGTTGACTGCGGACCTGGTTAACAGATGCTCGAAAGCATTACTTGGTCGCGGGAAATGTCTTTAGTTAATGCACAAAGCTGTGAGCAATCTAAACCGAAAAAAATACCTTGATCGACTTTAGTTGGCTGTCATTTCTTCGAATGTTTTCTTCCGTAAGATCGACGAGAAGATTCAGATTATGCATCAGTTCGGGAACATCGAAAACATCACGGTCGCTTATATCGTTGAAAGTGATTCTGTAATTGAAGGGATCAACAGATTGTATCACTAACTTCGCCGGGCCGGCTTGGATTCGTCAGCCGCTCTTGCTTTAGGCGAGCTGTTAGGTAGGACGGAAAGTCCTGCGGCACTTTGATTAAATTTTCCCAGAAAAAATACCAAAAAACATCCCGAATGTTTTTATCTCTGATTAGTGGAGACTGTCCTCTGGGTTTTCTGCAAATGGGTATATCATGACTTTGTGGAAGTTTTCAAAGCTTAAAAGTCCCTCAGAGATTGAGGCAATTTTTTGACCTACCCATTTTATGAGTTCCTGTAGGGCCACTCAGCCGTAGTCGAGAAAGCTAACACTTACGTTGTCTTGAGGAAGGATATCGCTTGCCACGGCAAAGTGTAGCTTTTGCATCAACGCATCCAAACTGGATTTATTTATTTCGCAGTTAGGCAATGTATAAGTCGGCCACCAGCACAGAATGATGGCCGTTTACTCGAGCTTCTTGAGGCGTAGCCGAACGTAACTACCAGTAATTTGGCAGCCTCTCCAGGCTTCAGCTAATTGACAAGTGTCATGCTTCTCCACAATCTCAGTTATCGAGAAAATTTTTTGTGAAGGATGCCTCTTGATTTGCACCCGTCTGACAAGTCATACCGAATGACTGTGACTGAGTTTCCTTTTGCTTGTACACACTGGAAGAACATTTGTGGTTGGTATCGAGTGGTGGAGCCTTGCCAACTATGCACACATCCTTCGCAGGATTTCTCAAGTAGTAAAGTATATTGTTCATCCAAAAGCAGATGAGCATGGGATAAAGGTTTCAGTGTGTTACTGGTATGACTTCAAACCGGTATCGCTGGATACTAACACAGCTGTAAGGACCACAATCTACTCTAATCAGTTTCAGAACATGTATGACGTCATGCTTGAATTCATTCAGAAATACTCAATTCTTCCCTACTACTCGGCGATGCGAAGACCTCTTGTGGGGATCAGGCTACGCCAAAAGATCATGGATCCCTTTCAGAGAATGCGACCGCCAGGTTGATGCAGCCTCTAATTACCACTCCTTTGGTCCCTATCGCATCCTTTAAAAAGCAAAAATTCCGAAAATCGACCTCAACCCGAGAATGAGGTCCAGCTCTTCTTTTTATCATAGTTGCCGTAGTTCTATGAAAGTGGAAATGAGAAGCAAAGGTGGGTACTAGTCGTAGTCATCAACTGTGGTTACTTTGCAGATTGGAGCTGTCTTTTAATGAAGGAAAATTTGCTCCGAAAATTTGGTCAAAGTGTCGCAGGACTTTCCGTCTAATCTAGTAGAATGCGCAAAATGTGCCAGGTGTTCAGAGGGCGTTTTTAAGAAAACATAGAAAAGTGAGGTGAAAATAGCTCCACATCAGTCGCCACTTATGGGCTTACGCATATGGTACTACTCGCTAATGCTCGATTTTTAACCAGAAGTCAAGTGCAAAGTATGCGTCACACGAGGAGCGTGCATGTTACCACCAACAGTACGTCTTCACTTTGAACTGTTGGTTCCCTTCCTTTTTCGGTCTGTGCGACCTACATCTCCTCACACATCATCATTACAAAAACAAAAGGCAGTTTTCCGGGAAATTTTTTGATCATCGGTTTTCTTGAGTTTCCCGTTTAAGGCCACAATATATCCAGGGCGCTACTCTTCGTGATAGAAATACCGCCTATCTCAAGTGTGCTGCGCCCATTTTTGAGGTGTGTCTTCTTTATCTGGTCCGTCAACCCTTTGCTAACTGCTATCTTACTGCACTTTGCCCCCACCTCGAGGTTTTAGCAGAATAACGAATTTTTCGAGTCACACCGCTAAGTTTCAGAGCATCCCGCCCGCTCACTGCGGGCGGGATTTACCATGGATTATGTGTGTTCTTTGCCCCATACCCCACCCATCCCAACTCTGACCCGATCTCTCCAAGTTGTTCTTTAGGTAGACCCAGTCTCCGTACAGATAGACGTACCAAATGATATATAATGGTATTACATAAGACTGGAGGTCGAGCACTGGCAGGTAATGCCCTATCCTAGGCGTGGCTTCTGGACGTCTCGTGAGCTGCTCCCCAAGCCTTTCGTTTTTCTGATTGATACTAGATTCACCACAGAACGTTACATCCACTTCCCCTCCCTGCAAACCAGTGCTTTTGCCCACTACCCATTCAGATACCACTATGCTCCGCGCTGAAGTCGCGTGATAACGCCTTCCAGAGGAGAACTATCAAATTCCGAACGTTGCTGAGCAGGTTAAGAAGAAATGTAGTGACTAATATAGCCTATATGTACAGATTCAATAAGTCCACCTGCTTTTCATTGTAAATGAGTCATATCCACTGTATACACGTTGCTCTGGACCTGTCATATCAATCACTTCGTGCCCGTGCTAAGAGATGATCGGAATCCAATCGATCCACCTTCTTCAATGACTTCATCTACCGTCTTGTAACGAGTTTTGACCTGAACAACACTTTCTGCGAGTGCAATAAAAAATAGCTTTGACCACTTTGAATTCGGCTATACATTGCAATCTTTTGATTAACCAGTTCTACTCAGAAAGTTCATAATCCAACCTTAGTTGGCTTATCTTCCAAGCATTTTTGGCAGTGGCGATTGAAAATATCTTCCGCCCTGCATTCTGCTTCTGTTCACCGATCATGCGTCGTTGCGCTTCGGCAGCAGATTCTGCAACAAAACGTGGTAAACTGCTCGAATTCTGAAGAAATTGAAAAAAAAGAACCTCCGAATTTTGGTCCGACCACCGCTTCTTTGCCATATGCCCCAATTGCAACCACGACCTTTCCGGACCGCGGCCTGTACGGGTTCCACAATACCTTGCCGCGATACTCGAGTCCTTCTCCTTCTTTGTAACCCATGGACTAAAGAACGCTCTTTAACAACATTCAGTTTCCTCGCCAAATTATACTTGGAGCTCAATAGGGAAGTCGGCCAACTTACCATGGAACTTTGAATGGAGACCTTGTAGATCGATAGATCTACAAGGTTATTCACATTCAGATAGCAAAACTGCAACTTGCATTTCACAAGCAACTTACGAGCAGGTAAAGTTTGTAATGGTGCAGTAGATGGGGCTTGTGATGAGCTGCGAAGCATAAGCGAGGAATCGGCATACGTCGAATCGAGTCGTGGTGGTTCAGTAGTAAAGTTCGACGCTTGACCACTCGATTCGACGCTCGCTTATGCTTCCAGCTCACCACCAAGCCTCCACCCTACTGCACCATTACAAACTTTACCTGCTCATAAGTTGCTTGTGGAGTGCAGGTTGCAGTTTTGCTATCTATATTTTTGTAAATAACCTTATAGACCCTATCGATCTACCCAGGTCTCCATTCAAACTTTCATGGTAATTTGGCAGACTTCCTTGGTCAGCAAACAGCACACCGAACCTACCACGGAAAATATAAGGTTGGCGGGAAAATTCTGTCACATTTTTCAAATTAAGCTTCCTTTTGATAGAGAGGCGAATAAGACCAAAATTGTCCAGCAGTGTTATTGCGGGGTCTTTTCCTTTTTTGAGCACCTCATGGATGCCATCGCTTCATAATTCAGGGTGGCGCGACACAAAGCTGGACATCGTCTCAATCTTGGCTTGAACTCAGACTTTTCGCGATTTTCTCGCTTTTTCTCGTCCACATAACGATTGATTATGGGAGACAACTCGCAGTTAGAAGGAGCAATGTCTGTGCTACACCAATGCAAGGGGAGAGCCATATAACACTACTGCATGAGGTAGGGCTAAAACTTCTTCGGACGGAGTGCGCTGCACTATAAGAAGCATTGAAGGGTTCGGTGGCGAAGGTAGTGGATAACATTCTTGTCCATATTGCAGAAGGAGTAGCAGGAGTCAAGCGAGTGGTACTAATAGAAAGACCATTCTTTGGCGTATAAGTGCTCACATTACTGGTCACCCCTCTTCAGGGAATGGGCAAATATTTTGGGTTCGAAAACGTGACAGAACTTTCCCGCCAACCTAATACAAGATTTAGGGCGAATAATCTCACCTTCATCATATTTTTGATCACTTCTCCCTTTCCGAATTTCGTCCAGTCACCCGGTGCATTGGGATCGAATGCTCCAGTCATCGCAGAAGTTCTGATTCCTTAAATGATAAATTAACCCGGCTGCTAACAATGAACCGCTAGTAAGGTAAGGGAACCGCACGTAAGGTTTAGCCTTTTTGAAAGCAGATTAGAGTTCAGCGTCAGAAAACGCGTCTGACGGATATGTTCCACCGCAGACGGCCACTTCGACATTCGACTTGGGGTTCAAATCCTAACGTTAGTCTTTGCCGAATTTGTATTAGTCATCCCATTCAACACGTGTCGCCGTTTTATGTCGAAACAGATCAAAGAAGAAGAATACGATAAAAAAAAGGAAATAAATATTTTAGCCTTACGGTCAAATAATCGGCTCCCTTCACATCCCAGTGGCCACGAAAAGCCTTTGACCGCTTCTGGTACTTCCGTTGTTTCAACAAGAAGCGCGTAAATTGCTGTAACGGTGCAAATTCGGCCGAATGACAAAACACTGTAAGCGTTTGCGCGTCTGAGAGTACTCTCGACTGACGAGAATATTGGAATCGCTCTGATAAGGATGGTCGGAATGGCGATTGAACCCAGGTCTCAGTCATTGTTTATGCCCCAGACTGCCCTACAATACAGTTACTTCAGGGTCTGCACTTTGGCAGAGCAAGCCGGTGGCCTTCTTTATATGTGGCATCATCCAGTGTCGACCTGAATGGGCCGAGAACAGCCCAATATATACCGACATCATACGACATACTTTATTTCCGCTGCATAGCCGCCCTGAAAGTCCACAGTTGTGGGACATCTTCGGCTCATGATGATCATCCACTTGCAGCGCCACCGTCAATTCCTCATGGAAGAAGTTTGGCGGCTTCATTGCAGTTGATTACAAAATGGACAGACTTGTGAGTTTCGGAGCTCGAGGTCCAAGGAGCCCCCAATATCTTCATCTAAGGTCGGGGTGCGTTTTCACTAGTGTGAGTGAGCATCTCGTGCTGAGAACATCTACTCGCAAGAGACGTAGAATCGGGCACTCATGCGGTTCGTGCTCCTATAAAGAAAATTAGGTACGCCATGCCAACCCCCTTGACATCCTCAGTTTATACGTCATAAGACACGTACACTAATTGCAGCAGGGGATGTCAGTCTCTGGCGAGTCAAACTTGACAATATGTCTAGTGCTCTGTGATCTGAAGTACTTCCAGTGCCCTGACTTCATCCGCCCTTTTTCCTTGTAAAGGATGAACATTAGTGAACCATGTCAGCAACAACAAATTTTTTTCCTCTCTTCCTACTTAGGCTCCTGAACCAAAATTTTTCTTACTTTCACCCTTGTACTTCCAGAAATCACCATTATACACAACTAGTCCGGTGGCCCTCGAAAGTGAGCAGCGCACTTTCACTGTAATGACACTCTGATTTTGAAAAAACGGCGCTCGGAGTTTTCCCCACTCGGCTTCTTTTCAATTTCTCGAAGAGTCTTCTTCTGGGGCTAGGTTCGCCAGGCATTTTCACAGATACCACAGCGTAAAGGTACTAGCTTTGGGTATAGTAGCCCCGCTGCTCATAATCGGCGCTTCTGGCTTTTCTGGCCATTGCCCTCTAAGTGTACGGCACGTTTGAATGGTGTACATAAATAGCATCCGCGAGTTGGAGAATGCGATGATCTCGCGGGAAAGGCTACTGCTGGTGTGGAGGACGTATGCACCGCTATATGCCCCACCGCAGACGGTCCAAGTTCCGACTTGGGTTCATCCTAGTTAGTTTGCCGAATGCTTGTAACTTAGGGTCATCCACATCAAACGCTGTCGCTCGGTTTTATTCCACCAATAAAAACGCAGAAAGTTAAATTCATGATCTCGGTATAGAAGTCCTGACAGAGGCTCTTTTCCTTTGAAGACTATATAAAAAGCATCTAATCCATCTAAGCCAAAGCACGTTCAATTTTATTTTGCCGGCATTTTCTATGAGGCTACCACAAGGAAGCGCTGCTCTCCTGCTTTTTACGGCGCTTATTGATTAGACCGCTTCTTGGAGTACTCGTTCACACAATTTGTTCACCAGATAATTCGCTGCATTAGTAGGATTGCAGATAGAGCAAGTACATCGGAGAAAGTTCACTGGAGAGAAATGATTTGCGCGAGCCGGCCATGTTTCCATATCACACTAATGAAGATCGCCTCAGATACCTTAGCTCCCCAAACACACTTGAGTATGAGAACCGAAGTTTATAGAACTTCGATGTGCTATAGTCAAGCTTTCTAGAGGGATGTTGACTGGGACTTTGAGACGAGCTGTCTTTAGCGCGATCTTTAACTATACAGGTCGGTAACGCGGCGGAATTGCTCTCAGGCCTGCTGAGGGAGTAGGCTCGTATCAGATAGATGTATCACAATTAGAGCTTCAACAGGCAGCAGAGTCCATATCTTTTTTGGAACAGCCTCACCAGGCCATGTAGTATAGCTCAATGTCATCGAGATCCTTTTAAGAAATAAGGTCAGCATTAAGAAGTCCTGAGAACAAGGGGCTGGGCTACTGGAGGGGGGGGAAGGGCCTCTACGAAAAGTGATGCTTTAACTCAGGACAGATGCAGAAATGTTTTTTGCTTTTGTATTTGTCAGGAGTTGTAGCATCTGTGCTTGAGCTCTAAGACCTTTCTTTCATCTTCTTTTTAATTCCCTCGCGATTCACTCCATCAATTGCTTTTCATCTGACTCAGCTTGCTCGATTGGTTGCCTTACCCTATAGTTGCTTGGTGTAATTTGTCCAGCAGTTTGTCTCCTACTAAATGAGTTGTTTATATATTTGCTGTTTTAAAGTAATGTTTCCTTCGGCCACAGAGTTTGAAAACCACTTCGTTTCTCCCCCCCCCCGCCAACACTTCGGCACGATGTCTAAGTGGTCACCTTGTGGAGTTGACGGACCTACTAAGATGGTGATCCCGGAGGCCGCTCTTACTCTCCTCTCGCCGACTTTGCAGTGTTTTTGCTTGGGCCACGCTCTGCACCACCAATGTGTTCCACTGCTCTCGTTTGGCCGCTCTTACCCCCGCTTTCCGCTCATCCATTGTCTACAACTTATTTCCATGTGGCTGCTTTGTTTATCATTTTTCATTAATCGCGCCGCTTATCGTTCAATTTCAATAACTATGTTTGTGTTTTTTGTTCTGCTTTGCTAACGCGATAATAATCATTAATTCATAATCATAACTCGAAAGAATCGCGGAGTATTTAGAGAATAGCTCACCGTGCATGTATCCGAACAAGTCCCGCGCTCTGAGATAATCGGCACCACCCATGAATCTACTTTCCCTGCCCCTTTGTAAGCCAATTCCTAGTCGAATCGCATCCCTCTCTTCAAACGGCGACGGAATTGTCAACTCAAACTGCGGATTCTCCTCATTCACACATTCTGCATAAAAAGGATTGAGATTCACGAACTATGAATGCATCCTACAGAAAGAAGCATTGCACGTGAACCATAATTCTTACCTAAAGCACCTGGCCATAAGAGAGTGAGAGCTCTAAACGCAAACTGCCGCTGCCTACTGTAATCCTAAAAAAGACCCAGTGTAGCCGGAAGGATGGTACGAGAGCAGCTGCCAGTCAAAGGCCGCTCAACCAATTCGTAAGCGTACTTCGCTGTCGAAAAAACTTAAAGACTATTTTCTCTTAAGGGTTAGTTAGTTTTTACACAATGTTTTTCGTTTTTTTTTCACTGTCAGATGGTACTAGCACGGATTGACGCAAGAAACCATCAGTGTGTCAAGGCGGCAGGATATCGCTATAAAACGACCAGGTCCGGAGAACTCGTCCAGAGAGGCTACCAATTCCTTATTAAGGGTGTTCTCCACGTTTTTGTTTGCTTTCCCCGGAGGATCGTTTAGCGACAATAGGTTTGTCATTGAGCACCACTATCCATTAAATGCAATCACGGGGATTATCTTTAAAGAAGCAGTGTAACTAAGATGTCAGGCTAAAAAGTAGAAATTCAAGATAAAGTGGGGCTATAAGAAAAAAGGCCGGTTAGCAAACGACTGAAACAAAGGTGAAGCTTCCATCTCCTCACCGGCAAAAACGTTGGCGCCAACCGACTTTTGCTTCTTTCTATCTCTTCTTGATATTATTTCTATTGGAGTGTCATCTCTCACATTCTCCTTCACCTCTTTTACCTGGAATGTGAATTTTCAAGGAACTCTCAACAAACAACCTGTCAAATCTTATGCTAATGACAAAGAGAAGCTGATACAACGGTCGCTTTCTCACCTTATCCGGAGGATCCAAACTGCTCCCCTGTTTTATACCTCCACTTACGAAACTTATCGGAGCTGAGTAGTCCTTCCTCGACTTTTTCCTAGAATATATTGAATAAGACATGTTTAAAAAAGATAATGAGTCATTACCCAAATGAAGGCCTGTCGTATGCCTCCTCCTCATCGCTTTCCCGATCCGCCCAGATACCTGAAAAGAAACAGATTCGAAATGAAACTTAAGCATTTCTCAAAATGAGGGACCATAGGGAGCATGCTCCTTTCCCTGACTGGCGCTCTACGAGCAGTCGCGGGATTCCGGACCCACACCTTTTTTTGACCCCATGCCTTTCCAATACGTTACTCCGATCACAAAAGCATTCAGATTCATCGCCACCAGGCTCAAAATCAGCCCCATTCCAGGCCCTTTCAACCAGACAGTAATGTGCGGCAGCATGCTGAATACTGCCTCAAGAACGACGGAATGATTTCAACAAACGGGGGAACCTGAAAACTCAATAGAGGTGGTCTCACCCCACCATATGTTGCCTGGTTCTTGGTTTGATAATGGCGTCGACCGGGATTCAACGCAAATTCAAGATCTCGTTCATCAAAATCGAACGCCTCCATCCCTTCTTCTTCCTCTGCCATGGTTAAAGTTGAAAGCTCTGAATTGAAGTTAAGAACCAAAACTTCAAAACAAGTCTCCTCACATTCATTAAAAAAACACACTCTAAACTACGCTGAGAACGGGAATCGAAACAAAGTGCTCAAAATCGGCGCATATTTCGCTGGCGCAAAGCTGGTCTGCGGTGGAAAACTCGTCCTAAAGGGGCGATGCCGCGTGTAACTGCGGACAAACTTCCGGTTTAATGTATGGCAGCACCACCTGCTTATGTGAATCGTTAATATTGATTGCTCAATAAGGCCTCTTTCATAGGTCCGATAGTGAGAAAGCGCCGAAATACAAAATGAGGAAAAGGATTAGACACGTTTCAATTTTACGCAGTAATTTTCCAAATCAATAAGTGCTTAGTGATTCTCGCCAGTTCAGCATTTCGTCACTACAGCAAGCGAACGCTCCCTAACTTGCTGGGATTGTTCGGTCTTGCATATAGAAAATGTAAGTGAAAAAAATGGTGCTCTCCAGCAAGACTCGATTGGATGTGGCTTGGACATAATATAGCATGGGTAATTAAGACTTCCTTTACGAACTGCATGCAGAACAAAGGAACGGAAGCAGAGGAATCGATACGGAAGATTACGCTCCATAGGTCCAACAAAGCGGTTTCCATGGCATTTTCAGTTGCCTGTGAATTAGGAAGGGTACGAGCACCCGAAAACCATGAAAGCGGATTCGACTTTTCGTGAGCAATCCCACTACCAGTATGCCGCAAGCCATGAAGGCATCCGAAAAACTAAATTTTTTCGAATACGTCCCAGGGATGTTTGTAAAATACTCCCGGTGGCACGGTGTAATTGCGTACCGGCCGCGTTTACCGTATCCACGCTCAACTTATGTCGTCACCTACAGCTCATGAGTAATACACATCCGTATAGGACGGGTATCTGCAAGCATTTCAAACAAAGACGGATATTTTTTATTGAAGTTCTAAAGTCGCAGTGTGCTCAAAGTGTTGACCACTGCCAGCTACGTTCGTCTTGCTACCATGGAGGTCATCCTCTACCACTGTGCCAAAAGCTCCATACTCTCACTCTATCACAAAGATAAGTTCCGAGACGGAATGTGCTCCTTTAGAAGCTTATGTCGTCACACCACCGACGCTACTCAATGAGGAGTTGGTTTTGAGGACAGTCCTGCGTTCAAGTAGTAATTCGTAGTTCTAAGATTATCCCACTTTCGCGGCTGCACAGTGAATAGCGAAGCCACTGCGGTCCTCATAAAACGCAGTTCTGACGACTCCCTAATTGTACCGCCCACCGGAATTCAAAGGCTATTTTCGTCACGAGTTCAGTTTTCACCTCAGACAACGCGCAAAATAGATTAGTGAGCCAGACGCTGCAGAACTCAGAGGCAGCCGGGGTCCTTACGGTGTTCTTCATTCTATTCTCCAGCTTCTCTCTTCTTGCAACCTCGGTATTTTACATGTAAGTTCTCAACTTGCTTTGTTTACGAGGTTGATAGGTGGAACTATCCTACTAATTTACCATTTTCACTTTAAATCGGACACTTTTCAAGCCAAATTGGACACTTTTCAAACCAAATCGGACACTTTTCAAACCAAATCGGACACTTTTCAAACCAAATTGGACACTTTTCAAACCAAATCGGACACACCCCAATACAATTAGGTGGTTGATAACTAGACCACACTAGGTACTGGTACCGCCCCATTATCCCCACCCATTTCTCAGCAGACTGGGTTTTCCGAGATGCTTCATGAAATCTGCTCCATCGGTTTTTTTTTGATTTTTGCCCTTTTGCACACACACTTTAACTGGAAAAGGTTGATACCTATACAGATCTGACTCCGCCCA